GCTGAAATAATGCACAGCTCTTCCCCCTCCCCGCCCCGCTTGTTTCTTTCTATCTGGACTTGCATCCAAAAGCTGAGCTAAAACCACTGAACTCATTTTATTTGGAACTCCATGCTGAATTTACACCATATTTCCAAAGGTTAAAAGTCCTATGCTCATCTGCCAAAGACTGGAACCACAAGGTATTTTTTAGTCTAGCTTTTAAAGTTCAAAATTTTTTCAAGTTAATGTCAGATTTGGAAAAAACAGAGYCTATTAAATAATAGAACACTATTATTAATCATGCTTCAGAATAGAAGAAAATGCAATCCAAACATCAATTTCCATTCTCTTAGCTACTTGTTTTGCTCTTAGTAGACTAAAAAAAACCCACTCCAATTTACAGATTTATGCAGGGTGAAAATTAACAGTTAAATTGAGGTTTAACAATAACCAGATATATCTCCTTCCTCCAGATAAGAATTATGTGAATATTTACATTAAATCCAACCAAACAGTTGTCCACAAAAGATAATTTGCAGCTGTCTGTCCATTAGGTATAGCAGAGTAGGATGCTCACTGTTGCACCATTTCTAATCTCTCTTGCCCCCCACTTTGCCCTGCCTGTACCACCAAGCTGAGGTGACTCAGTGGTCAGGAGATTTAAGGAGCATCTCAGCACAGCCTTTATGGTGTCTCACAGGGGTCCTGGGAATCCCAGCAGTGCCAAAGAGCAGTTCTGYAAAGCACCAAAAGGGTAACCCTCTGAGCACACACTGATCCTGCCTTTTATGCTACTCTGATGTACACAGAAAAAAAGGAAAATTTATTAGAGAAGCCTGTAGAGGCCAAGCCTGATATAACTCATATCTTTATGCTTATTCAGACAAGATTTGCACCAATTTCAGATACAGTCTAGTAGCTAAAATATAAAAAAGAATTTTAGGAAGCCCAGAAGAATTCCCTTCTCAAGCCAGATTATGCTCCTCTGGAACAGCGATGTTTTATTGTTTAACATGAGAAAGTGCAGGATTCTTTTTGTGTTTCTTTTGGAGATTATTTAAAAGAAATATTGTGGCGTACTGGCAAGCACAAAAACCCCAAGTCAGGATCCAGCAAACAGCTGGGATGCAGATACCTGGGTAGAATGACAAGGGACTTAAAGCCAACTAACACTTGGCSTGGGCTAATTCCTCTCCTCCTCCAGTTGACATGGTTGGAGTTGCTTAGAGCACAACTTTATGCAGCTGAAATGATGCAGAGATGTCCCAAACCTTTGAAACGACAAGATGCAAYTACTCAAAATGTGCATTTCTCGCCTTTTCCATCCTAAGAGTAATAGAAATCAAAGCATTTTTTAAARTATAYGGAATATAGAGGATCATCCAAACTGSTTGATTCTGATAATTAATTTTTATTGTAGAAAACAAATTCATATCCAATAGTCTTTAAGTAGAAGGACAAAGGAAGAACCTTTTTAATGAAGCTGACAGTAGGACTACCTTCAAAGTCTTTGCCAAATGCTTCATTTTGAGACAAATATTAATTCCAGAGACATTTCAAACCAAATATTTACAATAATCTTACAAGGTTATTTAAAAGCAATMCTGAATATTCTTATTAAAACTGAACACCCAAGCAAGAGCAGGGTGGAGTGTGGGAAAACAAACCCTGTAAAAAAACCCTCCAGAGACCATTTGTGCATCACAAATGAAAGTCTCTTGGTATGCAAACCAGGAAGATTTTTCCACTGTATGGACCTTCATCTGATGGAGGAAGAAAAACTGAAAAGATGAATTTCTTTTTCTTTATATGAAGGGAASTACAAAGCAACTTAGAATGGGTTTTCATCTTGAAACAACACTTCAGCAATGCATTCTTAGGCAAATTAGAAAAAGAAAGACGTGGAGGGAATTCAGATTCTCAACAAGATTTGGAGTTATACTCAAAACGAAAAGGGGGTGGGGAGAAAAAAGCGCATCATTCTAAAGTGCAATGTTTATCCCGGAGTTTGCCCAGGGAAACTTCCCCCAAGGGAAACTCCACCACTGGAAGGAAAGGGAGACTTGGATTAGTTTCCTTCCCAAGGCTTTGTGCTCTCCAAATCACTTGCTTACTGAATATCTGAGTAGAGCTTAAAACATTACATTTCTTTCTGCAAATTTCAGCTGGTACCCCRGGGAGATCTCAATCTTTTGTAGATWCATGYCCAGAAACTTAAGAGACAGAGTATTTCATAGCACAAATTGTTCTAGATTACTACTTTTCTAGCAAAGAAGTRGGGTTTTTTCTTCAGATAAAGCAACTTACAGGGAAGTGGAAATTTTTGCCATCTCATCAGTCATCCCAGAATAGACTTTACTTCCAYCAAGTCTATGAACTGTCACTATTAACTGAATACTGTTACTCTCCCAGTTCCATAGGGCCTTAACAAAACTTTCTCATTTAAAGTGGAAGATATTAGAAAAGATCTCTAGTGCACAAGAGAGGAATAGAAGGCCTGGAAAAAAATATTTAGATTTTGCATGACTGGAGACTACTAATAGGCTCAAGAAAATGCAGCTATGAAAAGTAAGGAATARTGATAAGATTCTTAGCATAGGACAMGTTTTAYATATTTTCAAAATGAAAACAAATTAGCAATGCTTCTTTCCAAAGCTTTAAATGAACACTGTTGGTTTTCTTTGAGTTTAAGCTGTTTAGCTGCAATTTCCTATTTTGTGTTCCTAGGAAAGAAGGGGCAGTGCACAGCTAACGGGATGATCATGTTCGATAAAGCCGTGTGGTCTCCCAAGCCCTGTGTCACCTGTCTGTGCTCCAAGGGAGAGGTGATCTGTGACACAGCCATGTGCCACCCTCTGCAATGTCCCCAGACTGTCATCCCTGCAGGAGAATGCTGCCCAGTGTGTTCAGAGACAGGTATGGGACACCACTGATTTACTGCTTTGGAACTACCTGGTTTAAAACCTAACATCAACACTACATTTGATGTTCCCAAGAGTTACAACATATTCATTATCCTGAATTTCAGGATTAAAGCAGCTCCTCAGAGTTTCTACTGAAAACTGACTTTAGTTTCTCAGGCTGTTAGATAAATTTGATAGAACATTTAAAGAAAAGATGATGTTAAGTATGCAGTAATAAAAACAATATTATTTAGTTTTTTATTGCCCTTCTGCTTCCCTCCTTCCTTTACAGAATTTTGTAAATATACAAAGAAATAACAGCTACTTATATTTTCTGCCTCACTTCCATTTACAAAGGATCAATCAGTAACTACTGGCCATTGTTAATGTATTAGACACACAGATTGGCAAAGCACTGTTAAGAGTGCAAAACATGAAGCTATTTGTAATCATGAGAAGAAGTCAACTCAAGAAAAGGAACAAAACTACAGTGTTGCTTTGCACAATAATTTACATAAAATCACTGCCTTAAAAAAGAAAAGGAATGGAGGAGATAAATATGAGATGTGGTTTCCTTCCTTCCCACACTCCCAGTATCTTATATTTGCAAAGTACTGAACTCAATCTCCTCTTGSTGTAAAAGGTATTTTTCCTTGTGTGTATACACATGTGACACTCTGAGACGAGACATCATAGGAACTAGCTGTAGAACTGTACAAGTCATGTTGTCTGAAACATTTAAACTCCCTTTATTACAATTGCCCTATTATGGAAGTAAAAACTGCATTTTTGGTAACGGAGTTAAATGCATTTCCCTGGTGAGATCCCCACCTGCAGCCAACTCCTCCCCCGACAATCCCTTCTGGAGAACAAGTCTTGACCTTTGTGAATTTTTTCCAAATTACCTCCCACTCCCAGATGCATTATTTTTCCTCTTCAGACACCTCCATCAACAGAAAAACCATAATTAGTAGCAAGTCAAAAAGGAAGTTAATGAAGGCTGTATTAATTTTTCCATCTTTTTTTCTGGAGTTGTTATAAATCATAGCTGTGTACAAACTGTTCTCAACCATTTCTCAGTAGATTATGTCCCTTTTGTCAAGCAATAATCTAAGACCATATTTTTATTCTTTCATGTCATATTCTAAGAGGAATAACATTCTACAGCCATAATATTTTCACTGAAACAGTGCTTATTAATATTTCAGTTTCTTATCAAACTCTTTAATTTTGGTTTTTTTTTTTCTCATTGCCTCTGCTTAGCCTCCTCTTTGGACTCCAGCATCATTTCACTGGATGACATCAGTGAGTTGTCTGGTGATTCCCCAGAACCCAAGGACCTTGACAACACCAGCGTTCTACCATCAGCACAAACTCAAATGGAAAAGGATAGGCTGCTTCAAACAGAGGTGATAGAGATTAGAGACAAAGAGGGTCCCAAAAAAGGGGAAAAGAAAAGAAAAAGGAAAGGCAGAAAGAATCGCCAGAGGCACAAAGGGCATCGCAGACAGAAGCTGCCTGTGCCAAGAACAGGAGCTGCAGAAGATGTGCAGTATGAAAGTGATGAAGATGATGATGCTTTCAGAATTCCATCCCATTTCCCAATTCCTGTTCCACCCCTAGAAGCTMCTCCTTTGCCATCGGGATGTTCCACCTCAGACACCACAGTAAGCTGCATTAATGCCAAACTTACCCAAATACCACCCATCTCAGATCCAGACCTAACAAGTTTAGACCTYACAGGTAATTCATGGGTCAACTTTGCTCGACTTTTGTGACATTGTCCACCCTCAAATGCAGTCAAGAACACTGTTAATGCTTTGTCATTCCTTATAATAGAATGTATTAGAAACTAATTTTMCAACCAAGCCTCTAAAAATTAATTAAAAACATTACATTTACATACCAGCGTTTAAATACTAAGAAGAATATAACTACACACAATTATTGTCCATAATACAGCTATTCTTGTGACAGATTTTCTCTGTGCAGTACTACACATGTCAGGTGCAGACTGGATTTCATAACTCAAACTTTTTTCTTGACTTCTGTCCTAGGAAAYAGCATCACTGCTATCTCAGATGAAGCATTCAACGGGATACCTAATTTGGAATGGATTGATCTGAGTAAAAACAACATTACCTCTCCTGGCATAGGTCCCAAAGCATTCAAAGTAAGAAAGCCTAACTCTTCTGCTCCCCTCTCAACAATTACTGCTTAATTGCTTTTCAGTTTATGGATCTAAATCCCTTTGCATCTTAARTAAACATTGTAGAAATACAGTACAGGCAAACCTGGCTACCTCAAGAAATCTGTCATCATAATTACGAATTAAAATTAAGATACGCAATTTTTCATACCAATTTTTCAASCTGGTTTAAGCATAAAAATCCTCAGTTATTGAAACAGTTGCTGACCTAAATCATCATTTTGCTCACAAATGAAGAAGATAATTTCTAACTGTATATACTCTGAATCCCTAAATACTGCACAATGTGGTGAGGTAAAACCTCCATGACTCACAGAGCATAGCAGGAATGCAAACATTGATCCTGGCAAACTGCAGCAGGGCTGKGTGGAAGCTCTTCCAGTTACACATGATACTAACTGGCACTTATGTTAATATCTAGCAGAAAGAAACAAATTATTTTTTACATTTTAACATTATTTTTTATTCAGAACACTGGACACTACTGCACTGCTACAGAAAAACCTTGAAAAGTGTGTGTTTAAGAAAATCTTAACTAAGATTACACTGTCTGCTTAACTGCATATTTTGCACCTTGATAATYTAAGTTCTCTTCTTCATCCCTATGATCAAGATCCTGAAAAAGCTGAAACGTTTGTATTTGGATGGAAATATGCTGGTTCATATTCCCTCTGAATTGCCATCAACTTTGGAAGAAATAAAAATAAATGACAACCAACTTCATGTCATTGATGAAGATGGCTTAAAAGGTATTTAAAAACTAATATCAATCACATGAAAAGTTTAAAATAAATTTGAAAAGCAGAATGTTCAACCAAATGCATGCAATCAATAGTCAGAAATAGTCAGAAATCAATAGTCAGAAAAAGAATTGCTACCTTTAAAGTGCCACGTTTTCAAAAGGCAACAAAAGCTGAAAGATTTGCATAACAAAGGATTTGAAAATTACAGTTTCCCTTCTTACACGACCACTCCTCTCTCAAAACAGTTTATATTTAAGGTTATTAAATAGAGGTGGATTCGAAGTGTGTTGAAAACACTCACTATCCTGACCTGTCACCTGGTTATGTGTGGTGCAGTGATATGAATTACCAATCCCTTGCATGGAAGTGAATAGAAGTTGATGCACTTGAAAAATAAGGGAGAAAATAATTGGAGTCAACCACGATCATTTTAAGACAAGTTAAACACAAGCTGATAGAAAAAAAAGAAATAKAAAAAAGGAAGGGTACCATMYATGTCAGAATTTGATGGGTTATTTTAATCCCTTTCCTCGCCTGCCAAAAGGGTCCCATCTAAACTGGATCAGCTGCTGCCCTTTCCRTTCAGACCAGGAAAGGAAACTGTAAATAAAGCTGTGGTCAATCTCTAAAGCTCCACAAGCTTAAAAATAATATAATTCCATGATTATGAGATAATAAAATCAGTTCACTTTGTTTTTTCATTACTGTGAATGGATCTGGGTAATATTTAAGACTGTTAAATTATGAAYGTATATTTTAACATAATATAAAATGGCATTAATTAACTGAAATTAAACTTTTTCTTCCYAGGTTTAAAGAACTTGGTTACCTTGGAATTAGAAGGAAATAAACTTAGTGAAGCGAATGTCAGTCCTTTGGCSTTTTATCCTTTGAAAAGTCTTTCTTATTTGCGACTGGGAAGAAATAAATTCAGAATTATCCCACAAGGTCTTCCTGCCACACTTGAGGTAAAAACAAAACAACCAAAATAAAAACTAACAACAACAACCCCCCAACAAAATCCCAAAAGATGCAATTCCTTCTATTTGCCCTTTCAAAGCAATCTGGATTCTCACAAATGAGAAAATAAAACAATTGCTTTGAAAAATTGTGTTTCTGAAGGTCCCACTCCAGCTACAAACTGACTCTGGTTCAGATTCAGAATTAACCAGGTAATACARAGGACAGGTAATTGCTCCATTTTTATTTGCAATGGGAAAATCCAGCTTATTTTGATCTCACAAGTTTTCTTCCCAAATGTACTTACAGGAGTTATATCTGGAAAATAATCAAATTGAAGAAGTGTCAGAAATTTGCTTTAACCATACGAGAAACATCAACATCATTGGGCTAAAGCATAACAAATTAGAAGAGCACAGGATAGCACCTTTGGCTTGGATAAACCAAGAGTAAGTACTGGACATCTAAAATACATTTATTTTATTTTTCTCTGTTATTAGTGAGTCACATAATGAARTAAATATTTGCACTTCATTACTTTTAACTTAGAATTGCAATTATCTGTCGATTTGTTTTCCTTCGCTAATTTTTCTTAATTTCCTTTGCCTAATTGTATAATCTAAAAAAGACTCAGTCAGCTGTCAAATAGAAYGATCTTTAACCTCAAATCTCTACCATATTAACATAAAAGTCAATATTTTTTCTGACCACTCATTCAAAAATGAACATTAATTATAAATAATACTACATACAATTATAGRGTAATTTAGTATCGATACACAATTACCTCCCAGGTAATTTAAAAATAATTTAATATTGTCCTAGCCCTATTTCCCATTGGATTAAAAATTATAAAAGTAAATRAGATGCAGGGAAGATGGTGCAGCTGCACTGACTAGGAGCAGAAYATAAAGCAGAGCAAGCAGTGAGAAYGTAAGCAGTAAAAGATGAGTTTTGCTTCAAAAGTGCTTTTGATTTTCCTGCTAAATAATTTGCCAAGCTGAGCAGGGTACCTGGCCATCACTGGCAGCTGCAGCCCTATTCCTCGATTCCTGAATCTGTAAATTCCTTAAACTAAAAACAAGCACTAACAAGCTGTTAGTACTGACAGCATCTCTGATCCCTGGAAGTGAAGCACATGGGAATGATTCGTTCACACAATTCCAGTTCAAATGGGCCTTGGAACAAAGCTTAAAACTCCCTGTTAATGGGATAATGACTSAAGTCCCAGGGTTATTCCAGTTCTTCAGTGTAACTCATTATTGCAGCAATCACTAATTAGTCCCTTGGGATTCCCCTGTTCAGCCCTCTCTCTGTCCTCATTACTGAGGCTCTCTTCCCATCAACAAAATCATTGTGCTTGATTGGTAATTCATGACTTCAATTCTTTCTATTCCCAGAGTAATTATGCATGACCATGTTCCATAAAATGCATTCTGCTCCATTAATAGGAGCAAATTTCCCTTGGAAATTTCATTCCCTTGCAATGCCACGAGGCAGAGCCTTGAACAGAACAAGGCATTGCCAGGGCAAGAGCTCAGAGAGGTTTCAGCCTTTTTTTTTTTTCTTTTCTTCTTTAATGCAGGAACTTGGAGTCAATCGATCTCTCTTACAATAAGTTATATCATGTTCCCTCCTACCTGCCAAAATCTTTACTCCATCTGGTACTTATAGGAAATCAGATTGAAAGAATTCCAGGTTATGTGTTTGGCCACATGAAGCCAGGGCTGGAGTATCTCTACCTGTCCTTTAACAAACTCACCGACGATGGCATCGACCCTGTGTCATTTTTTGGAGCTTACCACTCCCTGAGGGAGCTCTTTTTGGATCACAATGAGTTAAAGGCTGTACCCTTTGGGATTGATGAAATGAGGAAACTACGTTTTCTAAGACTGAACAATAATAAAATAAGGTAATTTCTAAGCTCTTTATTACATTAATGAAATTAAAATAAATGTCATAAGGCATGCTTTCCTTTAGGAATTTGTTTATTTTAATTAGTCTTAAAAAATTCTGAGGAAAAAGCTGAATCCTGAGTTTTCTTCTGCAGAATTTCTTAATAGGATAAAAGTGAGATTTCACCCTCCCTTGCAGTYACTGAAAATGCACACAAAGCTGTGGTGCACCTCCAAGAAATTCACTGTCATAGTGCTCGGGCCATGTTCCCTGGGGCAGCTACARTTTGACTGGCACAGCAATCCCCAGCTTTTTCTGCTCCCGGAGCAGAGCACAGAGTGGTAACAAAATGGGAGGGGTCAGCAGCTGGAGTCACCTGGTGAGCAGCTTTCAGGCAGCCCTGGCTGTGGAGCCAGATGTGTGATCCTGACCCTCTGTTCTGTTTGCAAAGCAAAGGAGGGACAAACACAGCATCTTCCACATGTCAGACAACGTTTGCATTCAGAAACACGTAGCAATATTTCCTCAGGAAAACGAAATATATGGTACAAATGAGAAAGCAATGCAAGGAGAGAATGTTAGAAAGAATGACTAGAAAGTCCTTCCATAAAAATGTAATTGAGAAGATGTAAAGTTATAAATTATTAGATATCATTAATAAAGCAAAATGATGAAGTTCAGCATTATGTTGAATAATTATTCCTCCCCTTGGGACAGGACGGTGCCCCCCGAACGCATCTGCMGGGCTCAGACCAACCACGAGGATGAACACGAACACAGTGAGGAGGAGAATGAAGATTCCCACTTGGAACACGTTCACCTTGAGAACAACTACATCAACACAAGGCAGCTCTCCCCACACTCATTTTCATGCATAAGATCCTACTGCAGTGTTGTTCTTAAGCCACAAAAGACCAAATAAATCCCCAATTCTGCATTGCAACCCCCATCTCTGGAAATGCAGCTTTATTTATTCTCTTCTACTCACTGCTCTGCTTATTTCTGATTTAAACATTTTCTACTACTATAAATATGATCATGTATGTTATATACTGAAGTAAGGCAGCAGTGTATTTCTTCATATTGTTTCATTATAAAAAYATTAAATGTCAAAATTGAAGCTTAAGATTATGTCATCAATTTTTATTTCTACTAACACTATTCTACTTAAACACAATAGATCAGTGTCCCCAGGTACGCCCCTCAACACGAGTAGATTTTAGGATATAAAAAAGTAACTAAACCCTAAACTTGGCCCACTTATTTAACTGAATTTAAAACATTTTAAGAGGTACCATCAAAATTATACATGAAAGATAAAAGTCCTTGAGCTACAGACATTTTAGCAATGCAAGAATCAAATTTCTTAAAACATACACAGTACTGGATTTTCTAGCAAACATTTTGCAGTGATAAGTTTTCTTCCAACTGAAATTTTAAGAAAAAATGTTAAATTGATTGTTTTAGATGATCCTAAAAGCTTCCTGTATGCAAACAGAATCTGATGTGTTAGAGGAACAAGCAATTAATCTATATCTGGATGCTTTTTTTTTTTTTTTAAACAAAGCATATTTGCATTTTTTCAAACAAAGCATATAGGGTCTTTTTAAAAATATTTTTAAACTCAGTGTAATAGATTCCATTCCTTTGCACCACAGTTAATTTGTTAAGATTTTTATAGTGTACAAGATCTGTAGCCTTATAATAAATTTAAGCAAAACACCACATATTGTGGCAAYTATTTTAATTCAAATAGAATTCTTMTCTTATCAAACATTCAGACTCATAAGACCCACAAGAAATTCTCCACTGGATCTRCAGGGGATAACACCACTAAAATGCAGACAAATAAAGATTTATTGTGACCATTCACATATTTTCTCCAAGATGTGCTTTTTCACTATTAAGATATCATAAAAGTGAATTTTATGCAAGTAATTTGTCTAAGATCATTCCTCTGGGGATTTAATATGAGTGTCAAGCTTGCCTGACATTATGCTGTGTAAGTTGTTCCTTGAGAAAGCCTCAGTAATGGAACATGACCTAAAGTGAAATTGCAGCACCAATGTAACACCACAACAGTGAGACAGAGACTGAGGGAAAAGTGTTTTGGAATTGGAACACAACAGAAGCAGCTGCAGAAGAGCAAGCAGGAGAAAGAAGCCAAAGGATGAAGGATACACAACAAACTGGTGCCTTCTCACTTCAGAAACACATGGGCACTTAAACCTGCACAGCATTTCCAGACGTCAGATGGAAGCTGCTTAAATCCACTCTTCAAAGTTATCAACTACTGTGGAAGTGGAATGAGCTTGATTGTAAAAACTCTCATCTCTTTCAAACAAAGTAAATGGGATTGTCACCATTTTACAGCTMGTGACTCAAAGGCATAGTGAAGTGACCCAAACATTCTCGGTCAGAAAAACCCATGAGAACAAGTTCAGAATCTTTGACCACCAGTAGGATTAAAATATGCAAGGACAGCTCAACACAAACCCACTATAGTTGGTTTATTCTTCAACACAAACACACTATAGTTGGTTTATTCTCTACAACATATTTGAGCAAATAATTAATTTTTGCAGGCTTACATTGGAAATTAATACACCTCAAAAGGCCACTGGACTGAGAATGGAATAGTTCTGATGAAGTGTTATCAGACTCAGAAGCCTTATGAAATAGTATATATAAATATAAATACTGGGAGAGCCTTCATGGCAAGTGCCCAATGAGAACTGCTTTGAGGGAGATGCTGTTATGCCAATCCAGTAACACTTCTGCCAGGCAATCACATTTGGGAGATGCATAGCAGCATTCTCATTTCTCCTGTTCTCCCACACAGATGGAGCTGACTTATATTCACAGATAAATTCAAGAGAGAACCAGCTGCAAGTTGCTAAGACTGCAGAGATGTCCCATCARAATATTTTAAACATTTCAGAGAGGAAACTACTAATAGTACTGTAAAAATTTGAATACAATGTTTTCAGTAATCAAGACAAATGGAGAGTCAGAGACAAATGCAAGGTAAATCAATCTGAATACAAGGTGTGAATGTTGAAACTGTGAGAGAGAAAGATATTTTATAGCCAGGGAGAGACCAGAATAGGAGAGGTTAGGATTCAATAGCCACAGCAATTCCAGAAYCACAACACTTTGTGGCATAAGAGGAATTTTGGAGGTTTAAACTCTCTGTTAGATTTCTAAGTTCTGACTTGCATTGTTGGCTCATGTATCTCACATCAGAGTTTTGACAAGACTTGCTAAATCCCATTTGAAATCGAGACATAACAGAAAAACATCTTGTGGTTATCAGCATATTAATACAATAGGTATTGACATTATCATTTGTACTGATCTTTTCACTGCTTCAATGATGACAGAACTTTGAGGATCTGCCGGAGCTGTCATTTTGTGCATAGGGACAGGCACTTCTGGTATGATAAAAACTGCAAMGGTGTCCAACAAAATAATGTTGTTTCCACAGAAGTTGGGGTAGCTTTCTGAATTTGAAGGAACAATTAAAGGCAATGCTTTTTTTATAAGCAAGGAAAAAGATCTTTCTTAGGAAAAAAACCCCACAAAAACCTCAGAAAAATAAGGGCATCAAATGCTTCCYGAAATGAGATTTTCATCATTAAGGCCCACGTGTTGAAGCTACTAGAACCTCTGAGACCCCAGAARTGTTGGGTTCACACTAAATGCCCTTCCCCATTTCAATTTAATAAAGAATAGAGATCCCTCCACAACAAAGCTACAAATCACCTGACTTTGCCACAGAAAGGAGTTGCTGTGTGACCATTTGTTTTCTATTTGCCCACAGCAAAGTGAATTCCACTCGGTTAAATAACTATTACAGTAGCAGTACAGAGACTGCCTGACATGATTTCTGAATTTCAATTCTCAAATATCCATCATGCCTGTTACTGCAAAAACCCCTTAGAACTGTAAAAGAAAATAACTATCAGAAATACGAAGCATAATTTTAACATTTCTCTATGAAATGTTTTTCTCTTACTGAAAGAAATCAATGAACTGTAAAGATCTCTCAAGCCACAGCTTTATAGAGTTACATCACAGCAAGAAAATAAACAGTTTATCATTTCGGCTGTGTGSTAATACCAGCATTAACTGGTTGAAACTCTCCTGAGAAAACATTTTCTTATTTAAGCACTATGTTTATATTCCAATGTATACAATTTTCAGACAAGTCTAAAGACAGTAAAACAGGAGAGTTACGAGTAAATACTACCAAAATAATTTTACACAATAACCCTGAAAACTTTCTGTATGAAGCAGTTTGCTGAGAACAAGTATGGAGACTGTAGGTTTGGAGACCAATACAATATCTGGTGTTCTGGAAGCTTCCTAATCTTTACTCAGTTRGAAGTGCAACCTCAGGGAGCTGTTTGGGATTTACAGCCTCAACCAATATCAAAACAACAAAGGACTTGCAGTACCAACGTGTGTTACAACTTGTACACCACCTCTCCTCCTCAGGAATGGCTGAAGTCATGGATGAGGTTTTAGAAGACCAAACTTAGATCAAATCACTGCTCTCAGGGGGTCAGAACCACACCATGACCACCTTGTAGAACATCCCAGCCACAGAGGTGAAGCCAAGCCTTCGGAAATAGTGAATGTTTTTAAAGAGATTTCCTTTAAAGCTGGTTTTGGCAGCAGGAAGCRTTTAAAGGTTTAGTGAACCGTGTAACCTACCCTCATTTGGAAGAAGCCATGTACAAGTCTTACTGTCTTCTTGTAAAATGAAAAAGRTATAAACATCCTTGCAAAAAGAGCTATAATGATATGTTTGACTTACTCAGCAGACACACATTTCTGTTTCCTAATGAACAAAAGAGATCCCTGCTTTTATTGCATATTTAGTAACATGACCCCTTCTCTCATAGTTAGTTACCATTTAATCCCAAACTATTTCAAGGCTTTAGTTTTTTTTCTCTTGGCACACTGAAAGCCATTTTAAACAGGGAAAAACAGCAGACATGTGAAATAAGAGCTCTGATTTAAAGATGTCAACAACTTCTGTTCAGTCTCAAGGCCCCAAAGTATTGTGGAAAAATGTTGGAACACTTTTTCCATCTAAAAGTAGTGAAGACGTCACTTAAAAACCTCTAAAATGTATTAAACAGATTTCCCTTTCCACATTAACAAACAATCATATGATCAAAATGAATCTAGCTTTTTATTTTCCTAATAAATTAACATACTACTCATAAGTTTTACACCAATTCAGGTACCAAGCTGCTATACTAAAATGCCTGCAAGCATAATTTTCATTATTTTGTTACAACTGCTATAATGAAATTCAATGGAAATCCAGTGTTGAATGTTCCCAATAACCAGGTTACGAAGTCTCATTACACATGTAATGCTCCTTGCTAACAGACACCCTATTCTACATTAAAATTCCATCAGGAATCTGCAGTTTTTTCCTTTTCAATTTAAGAAGTGAAGTGAGAGCATCAAGCAGAACTCTTCATAAAAACCTTCCATTCTACTTTATGCAGGAGTTTCTAGGTCACTAAATGACCTTTGAGAATACATTGTGCACCACTGTGCATCRCTGAAAGAACTTACATAGCCTAGAACTGCATAGAACACTTGGACTACACCAGAAACTAATTAATGATAAATCATAATGATCCCTTTTATGACACTGAAATGCTTCAGTTAGTAAAGCAAAAGTAACCCAACAGATTTATTAGCTCTGCAGTGTCACCTTTCTCACAAGTGAATGTGCATCTCTGAACAGGATAATGTTTGATTAGTCTTGAAATGATCACAGCATCTTGTGAGCTGGAAGGGACCCATGGGAATCATTAATCCACCCCCTGGCCCTGCACAGACACCCCAACAATCCCACCCTGTGCCTGGSAGCGTGCTCCCTAAAATGAGA